CTGGGCAACCTGTGCCAGGGCCTCCCCACCCTCCCAGGGAAGAATTTCTCCCTAATATCCCATCTAAACCTGCTCTCTGTCAGTTTGAAGCCATTGCCCCTTGTCCTGTCACTCCAGGCCCTTGGAAATAGTCTCTCTCCATCTTCCTTGTGGGCTCCCTTGGGAAGAGGAAGGCAGTTTCATTCCAATCCTATATTAAACAAGGTAACTAGTTATACAGAGGGCTGGGTTTTGTGCAGATGAGAAAATAGCCAGAACTCCATCACCATCAGCCAGTTAAAAAAATCACTAATACCAGTACTGACTGTTTTAGTGACTGCACTAAGTACTGGGAATTAGCTCAAAACTCATTTAAGTTTTCAATCTCTGCCCTGAAATCTACCACTACCAAAAAAAAGAACAATAACAAAGACAGTGATTCAAACAGATATTTTAAATCACATTAAACACCGATCACTAGAAAAAGAATTTGACATTTTTTAATCTAAAGAAAAAAGAATTCCTATTCTGCCACTGAGAAAGTTCAGTTGCCCCTGAGAAGTGGAAAAGAACTGGAAGCTTATAACAGACCTTAATTTAGCTCCTATATCATTGAAAGAATTGTTAGTAAAGGTACCTTAAGCCAGAAACAAAACCTTTCCATATGGAATTGTGTCCATTCAGTTTGAATTCAGTTCACTACTACTGCTAAAACATTGAATTAGTCCTTTTCAATTTATAATTTAAGACTTTATATATTTCTTTATGTGCTTGGTTCATGAATGATTTGTGGAAGCAAGAGAGAAAACACTGTAATGGCAAAATTCCACAGAGGAGATTAACATTCTCAAAGGTACACTTGACTTTAACCTAAAAAAAACTCCCAACAACAACAAAACCAATACATCCATTTAAAACTTACTTAGGGTCACCACTGGGTTTACCTGTAAAGAGTTTTAAGGCTTTTTAAGGAAGCAAACAAGCCTTCTAGCTGGCTCTTCCAACTAATTCAAAATTCAACTGTCCTAGAAAGACCTCCAAACCAGTCTCCCCTGATGTTCTAATGAAAAATCCTAATCTGAGATATAGGTAACATTTTCTTGTGGAGAAAAAGAAAAGAGGAAAAAAAGGAAATAAGGAAAAATATCCAGGACTAGAATAACACAGTTATTCATGATTTGAAATTCTTGAATCAGAGAGAACTTTTAGTTTGCTTCCCAATTTCAGTGCCTGTTCTAATTTTGGCTGGGACAGGGTAAATGTTCTTCTCAGCAGTGGTACAGTGCTGTGTTTTAGATTCAGTATGAGATTACATTTTATTTTGCTTCCATTGTTAAACTGTTCTTACCTCAACCCACACGTTTTGCCCTTTTTACCCAGTTCTTCTCCCCTCGGTACAGGGGGAAATGAGAGAGCAGCTACCCGGTCTTTAGTTGCCAGCTGGGGTTAAACCATGACAGTGCCTTAGATCAGTTTCTAGTCTCTCCAAAAAAATAGTAAATATAAATCCACAAATGCCAGTGGGGAGATTCAATGTGACATTATTCCTTAATTAATTCCTGTGGCTGCCCCATCCCTGGAAGTGTCCAAGGCCAGGCTGGGTGAAGCTTGGAGCAAACTGGTCTACTGGAAGGTGTCCCTGCCCATGGCAGGTTGGAACGAGATGATCTTTAAGGTCCCTTCCAACCCTTAACCTTCTATGATTCCATGATACGCAGACAAACACAAGTAATTAAAGGTTTATGACATGGAGAATTTTAACCTCATCCATGATTCCATAGAACTAATGAGATCCTTTTATGAAATCCTTTCTAAAAAGGCTTCTTGGAAGTAATGGGCAGCTCGCTAACAACGTGTTTCCACAGTTGTATTGAAGCAGTTTAGAGCTGTGGAGCTGCTCTGCCTCTGCACAGACACCAGCACAAGAAATACATCGTGATGCTTCGCTGGCTCTTAAAACCGCATTTCTGCTGCCACAATCTTACGCAACGAGCGACTTAACCTCCATCACTCCCCCAGCTCCCGCCCTGATTGTCGGCCGAGACCGGGCTCTGCACTCCCGATGCCCAAGCCAGACTTGCCTTCCGTAGGGTTGGCGGGCTGGTCCTTGTTGATGGCGGTCTGGATGTTGCTGAAGGAGGCCGGGGGCCCGCACTGCTGCAGCACTCCGATGGCGTTACAGAACTGGTCTGCGAGCTGCCGGCAGCAATTAGCACCGCGTTAATTACCCCGTCCCACCCCAGCGCCCGGCGCAGCCCCGGGGGAGCGCGGGGAGAGCGCGGCCGCCTCACCGAGTTCACCGCGTCCTGCAGCTGCGTCAGCCGGTCCGCCATGGCCGCCCCGCCCCGCCCGCCGCGGCGCCCCCTGCGCGCCCGAAGGAGGAACTGTGTGTGTGCGGGCACCGCTCATCCCAGCCTGAGGATTTCCCTCGGGAACGCCTTCGTTCGAGTAAAAAAAAAAAAAAAAAAGAATCCCAAATCCCTGCGGTGCGTCCTGTGAGGCGCGGCTGAGTGGGAAACAAGGCTCAAGGGGGGACCTTATCATAGGATCGTAGAATCATAGAATCAGCCGGGTTGGAAAAGACATCTGAGATCATCAAGTCCAACCCTTGATCCACTACCACCACGGTTACCAGACCATGGCACTGAGTGCCACATCCAGTCTCATCTTAAAAACCTCCAGGGACGGAGAATCCACCACTTCCCTGGGCAGCCCATTCCAATGCCTGATTACCCTCTCTGGAAAGAATTTCTTCCTAACATCTAATCTAAACCTCCCCTGGCAGAGCTTAAGACCATGTCCTCTTGTCTTACTGATAGCTGTCTGGGAGAAGAGACCAACCCCCACCTGTGTCCCCCCTCCTGTCAGGGAGTTGTAGAGAGTGATGAGGTCTCCCCTGAGCCTCCTCTTCTCCAGGCTGAACAGCCCCAGCTCCGTCAGCCTCTCCTCATAGGACTTGTGCTCCAGTTCCTTCCCCAGCCTCGTTGCTCTTCTCTGGACCTGCTGCAGCGCCTCAATGTCCTTTCTGAACTGAGGGGCCCAGAACTGGACACAGCACTCGAGGTGTGGCCTCACCAGTGCTGAGTCCAGGGGAAGAATCACTGCCCTGGTCCTGCTGCCACACTGTTTCTGATCCAGGCCAGGATGCCATTGACCTTCTTGGCCACCTGGGCACACTCCGGCTCATGTTCAGTTTCCTGTCAATCCAAACTCCCAGGTCCCTTCCTGCCTGGCTGCTCTCCAGCCACTCTGTCTCCAGCCTGTATCGCTGCAGGGGGTTGTTGTGGTCAAAGTGCAGGACCCAGCACTTGGCCTTGTTGTACCTCATCCCGTTGGAATCAGCCCAACTCTCCAGCTTCATGGCTCTCTGCGACTCCCTGACAGGAGGATGTACATCCAGATGGGGGTCAGGCTTTGCTCCCAGGTAGAAAATGACAGGACAAGGAGAAATGGCCTCAAGCTGCACCAGAAGAGGTTTAGATTGGACATCAGGAGGAATTTCGTCATAGAAAGGGTGATTAAACACTGGAATGGATGGTGGAATCGCCATCCCTGGAGGTTTTTAAGGAAAGGCCGGACACAGCACTCAGTACCGTGATCTGGTTGACAAGATGATGGTGTTTAGTTAAAGGTTGGACTCGATGATCTCAGAGGGTTTTTCCAACCTAATTGATCCTGTGATCCTGTTACCGGCACTAGAAAGCTGGCATGCCACAGCAGGGGCAGCTTTTGCTGTACAGCAGTCACTCTGGCCCCGGCTAAAAGCAGCAACAGCTCTTGGGTGCCCCACTCCAGCCCCAAAATGAGCAGGAATCACATCTAACAGGGAAAAGTCAGAGTGTGGTGCCCAAGGGTTGGAGAATAAATGCCACATGTGCCAGTCAGTACTGCCCGGGAATGAGCTGATGGTCATTCAGCACTTAAACCCCTTCCTTCTTATCTCTGACATCTGGGCACAATCCCAGCCTTCCCACAGGTTATCTCCCCTGACTACCAGGGGTGTTTCACAGCTGGCAGCATGCAGAGGGCCAGGCTGAAGGTTAGAAAATATCTGGGGCTTCCTAAATCAAGATATGCAATACAGGACACCCAGAGAGGCTGTGGGCTCCACACTCTTGGGAATTTGTAGGCAAGGGGAGGCAAAATGGTGGTTAACCTGATCTAGTGTCGGCCATAGGCCAGCTTTGAGGGACCAGCTGGGCTGGAGACCTCCAGGAGTTTCCTCTTTCTTAAAATCACAGGATAGTTTGGGTTGGAAGGGACCTTGAAGACCATCTCATTCCAGCCCTCTGCCATGGGCAGGGACACCTTCCACTATCCCCAGGTTGCTCAGAGCCCCATCCAACCTGGCCTTGGACACTTCCAGGGATGGGGCAGCCACAGCNTGTCCAGGTCCCTCTGCAGAGCCTTCCTGCCCTCCAGCAGATCAACACTCCCACACAACTTGGTATCACCTGCAAACTGACTGTGGGTGCACATAATGCCCTCATCCAGATCATGAATAAAGATATTAAACAGGACTGGCCTCAATACTGAGCCCTGGAGAACACCACTGACTGGTCACCAGATAGATGTAACTCCATCCACCACCAACTCTCTGGGCCTGACCATTCAGCCAGTGTTTTACCCAACAAAGAGTGCACCCATCCAAGCCATGGGCAGCCAGTTTCTCCAGGAGAATACTCTGAGACACAGTGTCAAAGTCTTTAGGAGGAAGAGCTCCCTGCAAGCATGAGGTGAATTGTTTAAGTTCACATGGAGAAGATTTAGGAAAACACGCTCTTCCTTAGAGCTTTGTGGATCTCCAGTAACTTGTTGACCACGTGCCAGCCTGCAATGACCTGTCCAATGCCATTGTCTGAGGTCTGGTAACAGAGCAGTGCATCTTCACAGCAGCCCCCAGATCCTTTACTTCATGAGGATGCTGGGGCTGGACTGTGATTCAGGCTGTGGATCTTGTGTTTTGACTTCCTGAAGATTCACAGCCTGCTGTGAGAAAGGGTAAGAGGAGCTGTGACTGACCTGATTTCTGTGAGAGCTCACCTTGACAGACTTTCAGCAGTAGTGAGGTTGAAGGCATTTTGAAGGTTATCTTCATTAGAAAAGGACTGGCAACTTACACTGGAAAAAAAAAAACCAAACCCAAATGTGTGATTAGCAACTTCTTTCTTGACGTGACTGATGGCTGAGTGATTGCAATACAATTACAATTGCAATATTGCCCTTCTCAGCTGGTGTAGAACAACACAGTTTGATCCACTGAAGTCAATAGACTATGACAGTTCATATGAGCCAAGAGTCCAGACTAAACTACTGTGTCCATGCATCCAGTTTGCAAGATCTTCCTTCCCTGCATTTGTCCCTAAGTTCTTTGTCCCAGAAGATCAGGATTTCTCTCTGACCTGTATATGAAGCCCTTCTAGTTCCTGACCTTGCCTTTGGATGAGGTACCATGGAAAAGGGATGTGGCTTTTTTAGGGAAGCAATAACTGAACTAGAGGAAAATTCAACCAGATTGCCTCTGAAAGCCCACGATGTGTTCACCATTGTGGAATGACCATCATGTGCTTACATGGCAGTAGGATCCCAAGGATGCACAGGGTGTGTATTCACAGAATCATGGCTTGGGTTGGAAGGGACCTTAAAGATCAACTCGTTCTTGCCACGGACAAGGACACCTTCTACTTGTCCAGGTTGCTCAGAGCCCCATCCAACCTGGTCTTTGACACTTTCAGAGATGGGGCAGCCACAGCTTCTCTGGGCAACCTGTGCCAGGGCCTCACCAACTTCACAGAGAACAATTTCTTCTTAATATCCAATCTAAACCTGCTCCCTGCCAGTGTGAAGCCATTGCCCCTTGTCCTGTCACTCCAGACCCTTGGAAATAGTCTCTCCCCATCTTTCTTGTGAGCTCCCTTCAGGTCCTGGAAGGCATTGGAAGAAGGTAGGTCTGCATTTTGCCATCCTCATTGTCACCAGTGGATTCAACTGAGAGAGGCCTGACTGTCACAGCCATGGATTAGGCAATAAAATGACACAAGGATTTCCAATGCCCTTGACCAGTTCTGAATGAACAGCTCTTCTGCAGCCATGGGGCAATGGAGGTTCCTGGATAATCCTAACACAGGAACACCAAATGGAAGTGGAAGGTACTCTGCCTTACTTTCGTCCTGACCCTGCTGCCCCTTTCTGAGTGACTAAAGAACCTGGCAGGACACAGGGTAACCAAATCAATAAACATTTGCAGGGTTAGCTCTTTACTTTCTCCAGGTATCATTATTGGAATTTACACTTTCCATCTGAATCTATTTCATTGGTATTTGCACAGATGGTGTTTGGTGTGGTCAGAGATGATGTAGGATCCAGGGAGAAGGGAGTGTATTTCAGGGAGTGCATGTTCCTTATTGAGGGCTCTTCTGATTAGAAGTGACCTGCAAAGCAAACTGAGCATCCTTTGCTTTGCACCAGGTTTAAATCAAAGAGCTGACCAAAATATGCTAAAATTTAGATGCATTTTCCTTTCAGTCGGATTATCCTTTGAAACTGTGAGCAAACCCTGCCTGACAACACAAAAGAATTTTCCCATGGATCAGCTAAAGCTGACTCACATGAAAGACTTGCCCAAAGTGGTCATGCCCTCTGAGCAAATACCACAGGCATGAGGATCTCTGCTCTTGGCCTAACAGCACTGTTAGGATTCCAGAGACCCAGCCTAGGAAGGCAGATTTTATTGGAGGAGGGGAGGTTGCCTACCTGTGACCCAGCCAATCTGCTCTGCTATTTATCCATGTTGCCAGCTTCCAGGGGAGGCAAACATTTTGCTCTGTCACTGCACGTTGGGACAAACTTCCTGCTTGGCCCCTGAAGTGCACCACCTAATAGCACTGGCTGTTTGCTTAAGCAGGTAAAACATACAGCAAAAGTCACTGCTGTGACTCAGAGAAAGAAAGAAAGAAAACCATCTGATCGTGAAAGCTTTCAGCACCAGATTTTAGCGCCGGAGTGAAAACCTAACGGAAGCTGAGCACCCTTCTAAGATAAATATTTCCTCTGCTGGAATTGCTGAGTATATCACAGCCCAACAACTAGGAAGGCTTGCTTACTCATTCCTGCCACGTGTTTCTGAAGTGGTTTTCTGCTCTTCTAATGTTACCAGGGAGTGCATCCTCTGGCTGCCCTGGCTTGTTAGAAAGGCGAGCACATACTGAGCTAACTGTCAGAATAACCCACAAAGCACCGATGCAAATAGATGTGCAATTTTGCACCACTCAGAGGGACACAGAGAGAGTTAAAGCTTCCGGCCATTGTGTGGCTGAAATGTTAAAACTAAAAGCATTTTGAACCAACCTTTGCATCCTCTCCTTGAACTTTTTGTTTACTCTTTGCA